CAGTGCTGTGCTCCTGCTGGGAGAGGAGCACAGGGCAGGGAGAAGCCCTGGGATGCTCCATGGCCAGACCCTAACCCCACCAATTCCAAACCTGCCAATTCTCCCCTTCACAGCTCCCCGTTTCTCAGGTTTTTGCTTGGAAAGCCGGGAATGAAGCTGAAGTAAAACAGTGACATGGGCTTGATGCTGTTCCTGATTTATTTTGCATCTTATTGAATCTTCTTCCCTGGTTTCACAGTTATTGTGGGGTTTTATTAAAGGGGATAAACAGGTCTGGGACTTGGGGTTGTCATAGGAACTGTTTCAGTGCTGCAGGCTCACCACCAGCCTCGTCCTCCCCCCTGGGTTCCTCATGCAGTGAGGATCTCACTGGCACTGCAGAGGTGTCTCCAGCCCCCCCCAAGCACTGGGGCACGCTGTGGGACCCCCGGGTGTCCCTGGGGGAGGTGGGCCCCGTGCCCACAGCCATGGGGAAGTGAACCAGGACCCCTGGGCTTTAAGCTGAGGAGAGGCATGGAGGATGCTGCTGGTTGGTGTGGATTCTCTGGTGTCTAATGGAGGGTTGTGCTGTTGCACCTATTATACTGGGATGCTCTCTGTTCGACCTGGAATGATTTTCATTAAATCCCTGGAGCTGAGGGGACATGGGGCAGATCAGGGGCTGCCCTCCAGCCCTTCCCCATCTCTTCTATGGCAGGCAGAGGGGGCAGGCAGTGCAAATGAAAGTAACCTCATTTCAAAGGGATTCCTTTGTTCCCAACACTCCTTTGGCCTGTGCAATCCTTCACCGCGGGATGTCGTGGAGGCCAAGACTCTGGCAATGACTGAAGAGGGATTTCCAGGGCCGTGGGACTAACAGGAACATCCAGTGCTTAAGAAAGACTCACTTTGTGCGTTCCGTGCTTCACGGGACACTGCTCAGGAACAATCACCCTCTGGAGCCGCTCGGGAGGTGGATCCAGCTGCGGTGCTTGGTCCTGCCAGCGCCCCAGAGAAGGTTCCAGGGGAGGTCCTGTGTGTGCTGGGGGTGCCATTGGTGGATCACCCATTGGGGTGGTCCTGGACCCTGCCATCCACACGCGCATCATGCCCGGAGCGGGACACGCTGCGGTGCTCCGTGGGGTTTGTCCCGGGGCTGCCGTTTGGGAAGGGGAAACCCTTCGGGAGCTCCGGTTCCCGAGGGCAGGGAGCCGCGGGGGTCCCCGGGGCTCCCCTCTCCTCCTGGCACGCAGTAACCTCCAGCCTGGCGGCAGTCCCGGCTCTGGCAGAGCCCCGAGAGCGGCACAAGCGGCGCTTGAGGAGTGCAGGGAGAGGGGAACAACGTTTGGAGGGGCAGGAGCCGGGGCAAAGCAGCCGCTGCGGGAGGAGCCGGCACCGGCTCAATGCGAGCTCTCGGGGCGCTTTTGGTGGCCCCGGACGTGCCCAGCGGTGCTGCCAGCACGGAGGGGCTGTGCCGGCGCCAGCGGCTCCCAGCGTGGGGCGGCAGCTTGCCCAGCGCCTTGGCTCAGCACCGTGCCCGTCAGCAGGATGCGGAGCCTCCGTCGGTATGCTCCATCGCCTCGGCCGGGCCGGCCGCAGGGTGGGCAGCGCAGCGGGAGCAGCGACACGCGGGCTGCAGGAATTGCTTCTGACAGATCCATTTGTTCCGCAAGGTTCAGCTTAATTTCATAATGGTACCGGTCGCTATGGCAACGTGTAAAAATAACGGATCCCCGAGCCCGGCAAATCCCCCATAAACAGCGCCGGTCTCTGGGAGCCACAGCATCCCCCTGCCCGCAGCATCCCCCTGCCCGCAGCATCTCCCTGCCCGCAGCATCCCCCTGCCCGCAGCATCCCCCTGCCCGCAGCATCCCCTGCCCGCAGCATCCCCCTGCCCGCAGCATCCCCTGCCCGCAGCATCCCCCTGCCCGCAGCATCTCCCTGCCCGCAGCATCCCCTCGCCCGCAGCATCCCCTGCCCGCAGCATCCCCCTGCCCGCAGCATCCCCCTGCCCGCAGCATCCCCTCCCCATCCCCCTGCCCGCAGCATCCCCTGCCCGCAGCATCCCCCTGCCCGCAGCATCTCCCTGCCCGCAGCATCCCCTCCCAGCATCCCCCTGCCCGCAGCATCCCCCTGCCCGCAGCATCCCCCTGCCCGCAGCATCCCCTGCCCGCAGCATCCCCCTGCCCGCATCATCCCTATGCCCTCAGCACTGCCTCGGCCGCTGCCTGTGCAGGGGTTAGTGTTTGGGTGAGGATTCACACCATGAGTAATTAGTGGTGTTAACTGCTTATGCCTTGGGATGATGATTTCGGTTGCTAATCCTTCGGGCTAGGCAGAGCTCGCAGCGGCTAATTGGGTGGATGTCATTAATGCTGGCGGCCAGGAGCTGCTGCTCAAGAGCCGGAGCATCCCTCTTGCGTGTTGCAGGGGAGATGCTTTGCTGACAGCTCTCTTGGTACCCAAGCCCCAGCCATGGCGCTGGTGCCCACCAGGACCGGACCCTGCAGCCAGGGTCCCCCTTCACACTACAACCCACCCTGGAGCTGTCGCACACACACATGCAAACACATGCACAGGCAGAACAGGTTCCCCACACACGTGGACCCCTCTCAGCAGACATCAGCTGGTGCCAACGCGTGTCCTGGCTCCAAGGTTTGCGGTCACTGCTAACAGATAATCCCAGGAACGTTTTCTAACCCTGACAGACATCGCACGGACCCTCTAAATCCCTGATCCCCGGCGCGGCTCCCGCAGGCTGAGCTCCGGGGCAGGATGGCAGCGTTTCACAGCTCTGATTTGCAGCTCCTTATCAGGGCCAGGCCGGACCCTTGGGACTGATGCAATCACCAGGAGCGCGGTGGATCTTGCACAGACAGAATTAATCCTCGTGCTTTGCCTTGTCCTTCAGCTTCAGAACAAAACCAGAAAGCAAAGCAGCACAGACCCCTCGCAGAAGCATCTTCCTCCAGCTCCCAGCAGCAGGACCAACACGGAGCTGGGAGTGCTGGGTTCTGCTTGGTCTCAATGGGACCAACGCAAACAGCCCCCAGCTCTGGCACAGGGAGGTTGTGAAGCTGCAGAGGGGATGGTGTGGGGACAGCCAGTGTCAGGGCTGGGATGGTGCTGGTGGTGTTGGGGGCTGGTCAAGACAGCAGCATCCCCATCCAGGGCTGTCTCACTCTTTTGGGGGATAATAACGGGTGACACGGGGTGGTACCAGGTCTCCTGCACCCCAGCTCAGCCCTTCACTGGGGCATCTCCCCTTCCCCAGCACCACCAGTGTCTGTCCAGCACAAATTCCCCCCCAACCAAGCCTGGGCTTCAACATCCTGCACCCCCGCCGGTGCCTCCAGTGGGAGTGGGAAGCGATGGGCTGGGATGGTTTAACACCATCAATCCCCCCGCGTTAGCATTTCCACTCCCAGCTGCAGCTGCCATGGGGCTCTGTGAGGCCGCTCAGCCTGCGGTGAGCTGCAGCAGCCCAGCGCTGCCTGCTCCTGCGGCATCGGGTGTGCTTTCAGCAGAACAATCCGCAATCAGCAAAGAGCCCGCAGAGGACGCATGAAAAGGAAAAGGCAAAAGAAAACCGAGCCGATGCCGCTCCTCCCTCAGCCACGCTCCTCACCCGCACGGTGCCGGCCAAGGGGACACCAAGGTCTTCTCCAGCATCGCCCCATGGGGCCGTAGGCTGGAAGGCAGCCACAGTTCTCATGTGCATCCTGCACCCCATCCGTGCACTGCAGCACCCCAGGAGCCCTCCAGGCTCTGCCACACGGGCCCTGGGCACGGCCACGGCACCGGCAGCCCCAGGCTAATCGTAGGGGCAGCTGGAGGCAGGACGGGTTGCATCCTATATGGGGAACCATCAGCAGCTCTGGCAGGGATCTGACCCATTGGTGAGAGCCAGAGCTGTGGGGGCTTGAGAGGGTGAATTTGTCTGGTGTCAGGGTGAGAAGGCCTCCCAGGACCTAAACTTGGCCATGGTTTTGAGGAGCTGCCTGTGCATTGTGGGGCTCTGGGTACCGGCACTGCCACCCCTGTGGAGCAGCACCGTGCAGAGCATTCCCCCCTGGAGCAGGGATGGAGGCTTTGGCTCAAACAGCTCCCAGGAGCCTGTCAATGATTAACACCCAGCTCCGAAACAGCCCCTGCGGGGCTGGAGCTGCCTGGCTCCCTGCCTGCCTTCCCTGTCCCAACAGCCCCACTGCTCCCGGGGCTGAGCATCCCCCCCATGCCCAGACTGGGGTAGGGAAGTGCCGCAGGGCAGGCACCGCTCAGCTCCCACCGTGGCACCTCACGAGAGCTGGGGTGAGCCCCAGGCAGCCCCACGGCTCCCAGGAAGTGCATGAATCGGGGGGCAGGATTGGGGCCACCCTGTACCCGGCACTGAGCTGCGCTGGTGGGGGGGGGGAGCTGCCTTGCACCGTGGTCCACATCCCTGTGCTGGGCCCGTGCTGCGGATGCAGGAGGCTGCAGTGTGGGGCTGCTGGGGCTTTGCTCACCCCCTGCACACACAGCAATGAGCAAAGCCTCCTCCAGAGCAGGATCCTACCAGTGAACAAAGGTCACCACGGCCCGCAGAGTGCTCGGGGCAGTGAATGGGCACCAAACCGGCCTGGCCAGGTCCGCGCTTCCAAACCACCCCTCGCAGCCGGGTTTTCCTGGCCTGTCAGCAGTTTCACCCTAAACCCCCGCTGCCCATCGCCTCCAGGTCAGCCAGGGCCACTTCCAGGCCAGGCACAGGATATAAACCACCTTTCCTGCTCTGACACAGCCAGGAGGAATTCCCCCAGTCGGAGGAGTGCAGGGCTGCATTAAGGAAGCCTGGATGAGTTACTGCGTTACATGGCACTGGGATGGGTGAGCTGTGTTGCAGATACGGTCCCTGCTGTAGCTCATTGCATCCCTTCTTGCTCAGTGGATGGTGGGGGACAGCCCGGTTCTGCTGCAGCAGCCCAGGACGATGGTTCCATGAGGACACTGGGAGCATCATTCCACACCAGTGCAGCGCGGCGCAGGCAGCGCCCGCATCCCTCCCTTGTGATCCATAAAAGTCAGTTTATGGGCTGGGAGGGGACGGGCTGATGCTGGCAGAGCACTTGAGGGCCATAGAACTAAGTGGGCTGTGATTAGGGACGCGGAGGCTGTGGTGACAGGCGGCGGAGGCGGCTTCCTTGGAATACCCCGCGCCGGGAAGCACCTCCCCGGCACCATCTGCACCAACCGGCGGGGCCCAGGGCTCAGATGAGGACCTGAGCTAGCCCAGCTCAACCTTAAATCACAGTTAATGCTTGACTGAAGCAGAGAAGCTGCGGCTGCCCCATCCCTGGCAGTGCCCAAGGCCAGGTTGGACACAGGGGCTTGGAGCAAGCTGCTCCAGTGGAAGGGGTCTATGCCCATGACAGGGGTTGGAATTAGAGGCCTTTTGAGGTCCCTGCTTACTCAGCATCCTGCACAGCCCACCCCTGAGTCAGCAATCACAGCCTTAACGAAGCTCCTGCAGCTCATTTCCCCTCCCAGGCCCTCTCCCACATAAAGGGGTGAGCTGAGGACACCCATCCCTAGCTGCTGATGGTGGTGGGTGCTGCTGTAGGAGCATGCAGTGACAGACAGGTATGATACACACCACTGCCCCTTAAACCAGGGTTCTCAGTGCTGGGGTGCTCTTGCTGTGGGTGCTGCTGCCTTGGTCCCTTCAGGTCACGGTCTGCCTCGGTTGCTCCTTGCACACAGGCTATGGGTCACTTTTTCCCCTCCCCATATTAACATATTGCTTGTTCTAAGTTAACATCAGATAAACTAATTTAAGCTCTTTCTGTACTGGATGTCTTGGATTAAATTGGCATGGTACCTAATGAAGCTGAAGCTCCATTTGTTGTGCTGGAAGCCCTAAATATCAGCAGTGTAATTGGTGCTACCTACTTTAGAAGACATTTGTGTGGTTTTTTTCCCCCCCAGCCTAAAACCCTGTGGGGATGATGTCTCAAAGCCCGAGGGATGATGGGGAGAAGCAGGAGGGCTTTAGGATGTGTCTGCCTGGCTCATGGACTGGGCAGGTCATGAAATCCAGCACTGGGGCTGGAGGAGGGATGGGATAAATGTGCTGTGTCCTGTGCCTGGCTGCTCCCTGGCTGCAGGGAAGCTGTGCTGTGCACTGGAGCACATCTCGAGCAGGGCTGGGCTTGGCTCTGATGCGGTCGCACACACATCAGGCTTGTTGTGGTGAGCCATGGAAGCACCATCTCCCAGGGTGCTGGGGCTGGGCTGTGTTTGGGGCTGGGCCTGGATGCAACCAGGCAGCTCCGAGCTTCCCTGGGGCAGTGAGGATCTGCAACCCCAAATGCCTCTGTTTGTTATTGGGTTACTGTGGAGGGTTCCCATGGGTGCTGGCTGCTTGCTGGTGCTCAAGCACACTTCTGCAGCCGCAGCCCCAAGCCAGCACTGCAGGATGCTGGTTTTAGGGTGTTTTCTAGGCTGATGTCCAAAGCATTGGTGTTTTCCCTGTGTTTATCTCTAAGCTTTCCCTGTTGCTTTGGGTTTTGAGGCTGCACTGAGCCCACAAGCTCTCTGGGACAGCACTGTGTCCTGGTGCTTGTCGCTCAGGCCATAGGTAACCTCCTCACTGCACTGTACTGTGCTTGTCTGAGGCTGGGGAGTGTGGATCCCAAGGGAGAAAGTCCCTGGCAGGGGAAGAAATGCAGTCCCTCCATCAGCAATGAAACGTGGCTCATTGGCAGGCCCAGGTTTGGCACCAGCAGCAGGAACCGAAACCAGTTCCATCCCTATTACTGTGAGTCCCCCTCCAGCAGAAGCCACCGCTGTCCCCTTGGGCTGCCAGTGCTGGGAGGGATGAGACAGGAGCTCGTTAGGGGATGAAGGAGCTGTGTGGGCAAAGCCAGTGCTGCAAGGTCCCAGCTTGTGGCTGGGATCACCCTGGCGAGGCTCCAATCTCCCTGTTGGGTGCTGCCAGGCTCAGACAAGAGGGTCTTGGGCCCCTCTACAGATGGATGCTGCTGCCCTGGCCGGGGGTCCCTGTGCAGGGAGAGGTCCCCATCTCCTCTTGGGGAGAAAGCACTCGCACTGCCCATGCAGAGCTGGAAACGGGGAAGGGCAGAAGCACACTGGAGCTGGGATAGCTTTGGCTGGAGCCCTCACCCCTACGATGGGGACCAGAGCCCTGCCTCCCTCCAGCATCCAAACCTGCCAGAGCGAGTGATCCCAGCCCGGCCGGAGCACGTGCTCTCCCTGGCAGGGTGTTGGCTGTGTGATTCAGGCTCCTCGCTGTGCTCCAGGCTCTGACAATCAACCTGTTCTTGAAAAGCTCTCCTCAAACAGCCCTGGTGTCCCCCCCACGCTGCCTGCTCCTGGGGCTGGGGAGACCTGGGCTCCGAAAGCATCCCCGTGGGCTTGAGCTGGAGCGTGAGGATGCTGCAGAAGTGAGTGCAGCCTGGCTGCACGCCGCAGCACAGGAGTCTGGCAGCGCTGCCCGCCCTGCCAAGCAGCCTCCTGCTCGCTGTGGGTGTTTGGTGCAGGAGGAAGCTACTAATGATGGCGCTGCACCTCCCGAAATGCTCTGCTCCTGCTCTTCTCGGGCATGGGAAGGAGCCCAACGCTCTTTCCCCCCGCCCAGGTTCATTGCTAGATGGGCAGGGGTTGCCCTTCGGGGTGCATCCTCCAAACCCCCCATGTTCAAGCAGGTCCCTGCGATGCCAAGTGGAAGGGCCGTGGGCAGGAGGGGAGGCAGCTGAGCCTGCCCATATGCTTCCTAATGGGGAGCAATAGCAGCTCTTCCCGGGAAGCTCGCGCTGTGCCATCTGCTCTGCTGTGGTACCTTCTCTTGCAGAGCTTTTTTAAGCTCTAACTTTCCTTCCCAAGCGCTCGGCGGCGGCTGCTGCTTGCATATGGGCTTGTCTCCACGTTGTGATCGCCTCCAAACAGGTTGCCTGAACCTTCAGCACCGAGCAGCAGAACAGCCCAGACAGGCTGAAGGCAGCCAGGCCCCCGGGAGCTGCGCTTCCAGTTAAAAATAACCAGGGAATTGGCTGGGAATGGCTGCGCCGTGTCCCCAGCACCTTCCCTCTTGCTGGGTACCCGCTTGCCCTGGGTGGGTGCCTGCTGCCGGGCTGTGCCTGGGTGGGACGTGCTGCCCCATTGCACTGTAGAACCATGGGGTGATTTAGGCTGGAAGAAACCTTAAAGCTCCTCCAGTTCCAACCCCCTGCCCCGGGCAGGGACCCCTTCCACTGGAGCAGCTTGCTCCAAGCCCCTGTGTCCAACCTGGCCTTGAACACTGCCAGGGATGGGGCAGCCACAGCTTCTCTGGGCACCCCGTTCCCAGATTCCCACAAACCACCGCTAATCCCGTGTCCAATGGCTGTGCAAAGCAATTCCTTATTTCCATGTCACGCCGCATGTGCGGAAGGCCAAAAGCCAAACCCAAGGGCTCCTCTGGGTCCCTGCAGCTGGCTCTCGCTCTCGCCAGCTGTGTGAAGGGGAAATAAACACAACGGGGTTTAAGCACCTCGGAGCAGCGCCGGCCACAGGGTGCTTTACAGCAGGAGAAGCTGCGGCTTCGGTGCTTGAGGGCAGCTGGGGGGGTTCCCAGAGGGAGGTGCAGATGCCTGGAGGGGCCGGTCCTGGCTTCCAGCAGCTAAATTAAGGCTGGATGCAACACATGGGCGTAGCTGGGGCCGAGGGGGAGGCTGGTGGGGCTGGGAACGCGCAGATTGATGGTGCCAAGTCCCATCAGAAGCTCTGCTGTTTGTTTGTGCGGGGCTCGAAATAAACCGACAGCCCCAGCGGCTGCCTGGGCAGGAGGAGGGAGCCGGCAGGCGGTCCCCCGGCACCCAGTGTGAGCTGTGGGTTGGATGGGTGCTACCTGCGGGTGCTGGGAGCCCCCACTCAGCTCTGGGCTGTAGAGAATCTGCCCCATCCCCGTGTGGGCAGAGGGAAGCGGGTGCTTTGGGGATGTGCTGGAGGTGGGGGCTGCCAGCATCGGGTCTGGCTGTAGGTGACTGTGTCCATGCGGGGGAAGATGCTGGTCCCTGGTGTTGAGGTTGCCGTGTGTGGGGGGAGAAGCTGCTGCAGGTGCAGTGGAGAATGCGTCCTTGTGCCTCCCTGGGGAGGACTTTGTGTCAGAGAGGAGCAGGGTGGTGCAGGGTCTGCATTCCATGGATGCTCACATCCAGATACTTTCCCCTTACTTAGACCCGTCTCCCGTTGCAGCTGCCTCATCCTCAGGGTCTTGCCTGCCACGGGCTCCTGCTAATCCTGTCCTGCTGAGGGGACATCATGGGGATGTCCCCGTGCTCCAGGGGTGCAGGGGGCCGGCAAGGAACCTGGAGAGTGGCTTTGGACAAGGGCCAAGAGGGTCCGGCAAGGGGAATGGCTTGAACCTGCCAGAGGGGAGACTGAGATGAGCTCTGAGGCAGAAGCTCTTCCCTGTGAGGGTGCTGAGGCGCTGGCACAGGGTGCCCAGAGAAGCTGTGGCTGCCCCATCCCTGGCAGTGTTCAAGGCCAGGTTGGACACAGGGGCTTGGAGCAAGCTGCTCCAGTGGAAGGTCCGTGGAAGGGGCTGGAGCTGGAGGAGCTTTAAGGTCCCTTCCACCCAACCCACTCTGGGATTCCATGATTTCCTCTCTCCCCATCCACCTCCTGTCTGTGCCACCCCAGGGTCCCCTCTTCACTTTGACCCCCCTAAGCTGAGCTGCTCCATGCACGTGGCACCTCCAAAACGCTGCCTGTACATCTCCTGTGGGCAGGGGCATAACATTCCCCGGCGCGTTCAGGGCCCCCGAGGCCGCTTGTCCCCAGCACCCCGGTTCCAGCGCAGGGATGCTGGGCTGCACGCAGTGTCCGGTGGCTTCGGGGGGATCCCAGCCCCAGCCCACCTTAAGGCAGCAGCGCACCGGCGGGACCTTGCGAAAGCCAAGCGCGCTGCGGGGCGGGCGCTGCTCGGTGCTTCGCCCCCGCCGCTGGGAAGCGACCTTAGACCGGGACGGACGGACGGACACCCCCCCCCCCTCC